AGTTTTCCTTCAAGTAGCTATAGAGAAAAATCAAAGCATCATTATAGGAAAAATTTTAAGTGCGTTTAAATTTTAAATTTTTACGAAATAACGTAACGATGATAACCTGCCTGATTTATCCTCAAACCAGGTATATGTATATCTATGATAATATAAGGTATTATTAATTTATAAATTATGATAACTACATGCAATGTTTTTGGAAAAATTGATTAACCATGCCTTATGCAAAATGCGTCCTAATTGAAAAATAAAATATTTGTTTCAAAATAGAATATATGACAATATTTAAGTATAATATATCCTAGACTGACAAATCATCTCCGTTCAGAATCGTTTTTCTTATACAATGATACCTATCATTGCATTCAAATTTAACCTACCCTAGTCCACCCCACCCCCTAATGTACAGCAGAGCGACATCCACTTACCCGCTTTTTTAAGTTACTTATACTACGAACTAATCCAAACCATTCTAAGGCTAACCTAACCTTTCAGACACATCGTTTGGTGATGATGACCAGGACTTGGGAGGAGTAGCAACTACTGGCTAGAAGAGTATGTTTTTTTAAATCCCTTCATAAACTTTCCAAAAGTAAAACGAAAACTCAGATATGTATTAAAAATCTGATATCGAGTCAGTCATTCGTACTTTGAAATTTCAGTTAATTTATTTTCTAATACATTTATGGTGTGGTCTGACAAGTGACAAATGTGGTTTAAAACGGAACGTGACGTGATGGTCTTGTGACCGTCATCATAAACAGGTTTCACTGTATAGCCTATAGCCACCTATAGCCACCTAATAGTTAGTTATATTCCTGATCCTTGGTGCTTCCGCTGCGGTCTGCGAGGAGCCGGAAGACTCAGTGGAGCTGTTTTATTGTCCGTAATGGGCGGCGGGTAGGCGGAAAAGCAGAGTTTAGCGTATGACGGGCTGGTGGAGACGATATTCGGGTAAAAGGAGGTGGCAGTCGAGAGGTGGACGGGTAGGGTAATAGTGTTGTTATTCCGTGGGCCGAAAGCCAGCTTTTCTGGGTGGTTAGAGGCCCCCACTTTTGTATAACTTAACATGTTGGTCAATAAACGATACAGCAACGGGTGTCACAGTGATACAGCAACAGTTCGCACCCGTTCCTCGGTTTTGAACTGGAAAAAAAAGGTAGTTATATATTATACATTTATACGTACACATTCCAGATTTATATGTAGACCATTTTTTATACCAACTCGTATAGGTATACCTACGTATCTAAGTATATAATGAAAATATTTTATTTTAAATGAAAAAAAATCGATGATAAATAATATTAGATACATATTACATATAGAACATAGGTAAGTACACTGTTCACAATGTTCACATTACATATTATCTAAACTCTATAGGTACATACATTATTATTTATTATACATATAATACGCAATTAACGTTACGGCTGCAGTTCTGTGTCGTCCGCCGTCGAGCACGCATGTTCTGCACTACCTACGTCGTCGCGCACGTAATTACTATCAGTTTTATTATTTAATTATATTCACATGTGAGTATGTGACGTGCTTAGCACGATGATACGCAAACCCGTCTGTCATATCCCGCTCCACTACACAAAAGTCAACCAAACGGATTTTGTCGTCCTCCTCTTCGTCAAATCTCGATACAAGTCTAAAGAAAAGCAAGTCTTATGTGACGTCAAATCGGTTCACTCCCCTCTCCGTGGTTGACAATCTCCCCGAGGTTTTTAGCATCCCTCCTGTCACATTCTCACTTTCGGCTCAACATGAACCTAGTACGCCAACATCAAAACACCCCGGTGATGGAAAAGTCGAGGTTAAGCGAGCATGCCAGCACCGCCAATTGTCATAAGTAATGTTACTAAATACTCCTCGTTGAAAGCAGATTTTATATCTCTGGCGGTGGGTACCGATGGCTTTACGGCTACCACCACAAGGGGTCCTCTCTAATCATCAAACCTCGTAATTTTGATTGTTACAGTAAACTTGTCGATTACTGCAACGACTCGGATTTAGAATGCCATAAATGGGCACCCCGTCATATCCACCCTTTCAAAGTGTTTATCCTCAATCTGAACCATACTATTCCTGTTGGCTGTTGAAGATATAGAGAAGGCACTCCGGGATTTGGGCTTCTCAATCGTAAGTGTGCTAAACGTCCGCCACCGAATTAGCAAACAGGCTCTACCACTATTCACCGTAGTCCTAGAAGCAATTGATTTTAACCGGAGCATCTTCTAATTATCTTCCCTCCTTAACACCAAAATAGTTGTTACTATTTACCGTTACCCTCCTCGATGCAAACAATTTCAGCGATACGGACACACTCGCTCTTACTTAGTGCATCACCACGTTGTGTCAAATGCGGGAACAACCATAACACCATGGACTGTGTCAAATCTTCGGAACTGTCTGCGAAATGTGCGTTATGTTCTGGCACACATAACACGAACTATAAAGGTTGTCCTTATAATTAAAAAAATTGTTGAACACCCATCATAAGAATGGCCACCTCAAGACCACGCCACCTGTACCACCATTAGTGCCCTCAAAGGCGGTCTTGTCTTGCCATTCACAGTGGAGCCCCAGTCTACGCACACCCGATACAAAGAAAAATCCAGGGCCAAGACGTACGCTGAAGAAACTTCAAGAAAATCAAACATTTCTAATAATGAATTAATATCAAATATTTTAATTATTAATTTCACTTCTATCCACACTCTTTTTAACTTATTTCTATCTAAGAATACCGTCTCTTCTTAATTATATCTTCCCCGGATCCAAAATTATAATCATTGTTTTTACATTAATACCCTTTTGTATATGGTCGTATTCCGTGCCTTTTCATGTACGTAAATAAATATGTTTGTAGTCGCAACACAATGGCATAGGCACAATTTGGGTTTTAAATTTGGGGAGGGCTATTAAAATGTACATGTACCTATGTACTATGTGCATGCTCCCAGATATATAAAGGTTTTGGAGGGACTACGATTTATTTTGGGGGGATTAGAGGCTTAGCCCTCTCAAATTGCGCTTAAGCTCAGTGACGTAATTTGGAGTTGGTTCAGGAATGGAATAGGTATAAGTTTATACTATCTTCCTAGTGGTGGGCTATGCCCCCCAAACCCCCTCACMGTTCAATTTCATAGATCATAGTATTATATTGATTCGTTACTATTAATTAAATTAAGTAAATAGTATAATAATGGAATTTTTTTCTCAAATGTTATAATTGTTGAGGTATCGTAGTTTTAGATTTGTAAAATAAAAAAAATCTTAACAATGATAATGTCCATGAATTCTTACTTCTGATTGCAAAATCTTAACATATTTTTTAGTCAAGTGCTTACGGGAATTTAATTAAGGTTATTTTAAAAAAAATGTCTCTGGCTATATCCTCATAATATAATACATAATAACGCCACTGTCGCAACATATTACACTTTTAAATAATGTTTACACACAGAATTGTTTTTCTTTTGAAATGATTTATCTCCACTGAATTAGAGAATTCAAACTTAACACATAAGTTATCTAAAAATATTTTTTATCCAAAATAAAATGAGAATATCAAATCAAAGGTAACACAGGGAGAAGTTTCGATAACAATTGAATGAAAACTTGTGAAGTGGGTAACTTGCATAAAAAAATAACATTTATTGAAACATTAATATTAATGTAATACATTTATAGTAATAGATTTCAGACAAGTTATTTGTTTTTTAAACATTAACAATTATGTATTTATGCACAAATGTATGCAATGTTTGTAGAATAAAATGTCTAATTGAAATCATTCTATACATTAAAATATAATAAAATTTGTCTTGTTAAAATAGATGTTTAAAATGGCCACAAGACATAACATTTTGATTAACTATGAAACATTTACAAATCACATATTGGAACAATAATTTTTTTCATTGACATTATTAGTCATTTAACACATATACATACTATACACAGACAAAAAATATATATACATAAACTCTTCATTTACAATATTTCATTTTCATTAAGTGCATATTGATTATTCATTTTAAATGATAGTTTTTCATAATAATGGAAATAAAAATCAATATAAAAAATAAAAATGAATCATTTATGTACAAACCCTACAAAGACAATAATTAAATTCATTGGTTAGACACAACGATTCAGTAATCAATCAAACACTTATAATATATAATTATTATTATATAATACAAATTCTTAAATTGAATACCATGCACTTATGTGTATATGTATAGTAAAAATAATGTATGAAATAATTTTACTAATGCCAAAACACAAAAAAAATAATGTTGAAAAATAAATGTATAATTAATGAAGATAATTATTCAACAAAAACGTTAGCTTTGTTTAATTGAATATCCTTTAAACAGTACACTTAAATCTTTTTTATAAATGATGTTAAGTATCCAGTACCATTGAGATCATAATGTTTACCTGAAAAATATCAAAATAGATTATATCAATGAAGTTACACCTTAAATCAAATTTTCTGAGCAACAACTTTAATTATTTTTTTAAATATTAAATGTTCTACTAAGATTAATTGTTTTCAGTATTAGAATAATGGACTGCAAATATTTAATTTCAATTGCTTTTAGGTCTATTATAAATAAATGATCAAACATTACCTAAAATTAATTTATAAGGATTTATTTATAATAAACCTGTATGAATAAGAGTTTGTATTTATAAACAGAATATTTTAGTATTATTACGAATATAAATGATTGATACGACATAGTCGACATTGATTTAAAACAAATCTTTTAAATAGAATAAAAAAACAATATAAATAATATTGTATCAGTTAATTTATAAAACTTTAAAAATAATACTTGAAGATGAAAAATGTCAGGAACTTCTAATGATATTATACAACTGTTTTTTATTGAGACAACAAATTTTTATTATTTAATATTTTACTATTTATTAACACTTATTATAACTGGTATTTACTTTGGAGTTGTAGGTATAACGGGGATGTTGTCACAGCTGCCATCACTATCGGCCATCATCATACTAAGCCTAAAGTTTGCATCTTGATCACTCATTGAAGTGTTTGAGTCCACCATAACTAAGTCAGCGCTGAATTTAGGTAGTTCTTCTATAAACTTTTTTCTAGATTCTCCTTCTTCTTTATATTCTTTATTTTGGTATTGTATTTCTTTCAAAATTCTGCATTCTTCTTTTATTTCAGATAATTTTTCATTGAAATGTTTTTTAACCTTTTCTATTTCACATTTACCATTTTGCATATAAGCATTCTGATTATTTAACTTCAACTCTAAATCAGCAATACGGGCATTTGATGCTTCTAACAGTGCAGATTTATGGTATAACATGTTTTGAAGCTCTAATAAAGTAATAACAAAAATATTTATTAATTTTTTTTTATTTAAGGAAATTAGGTTTGCACTCAGGTTGCAAATATGGTAGAAACTAAAAAGCTGCAATAATAATAACAGTAAGAAACAATATAATGAAATTTTACTTATAAACAAATGAAATAATATAATATATTGGGAATTACTTCATCAAATAGGTGATTAGTTTGTTTTAAAAATAACTGGTTGAGCAAAGAATAAAAAGTGATATGAATTTATTAATTAAGTAGGGACATTTAAGTTAATACATTCTAAAAGGAAAGAGGAGTCTTCAAAATCGGAAAAGAACTTAATTTAAGGGTAGATTGGGAGCCCAGCAAACCTGAGATCTACCTTTGTTTATAAGTAATACCGTATTACTTAACACATACCATTTATATTATGTTTGTATGATTCTTGACTTAACATAGCATTGCTGGCATCATATCTAAGAGCATTTACATGAGAAACAACATCACGCTGTTGAGATTGCATCTCACCTCTCATGACTAGTTCACGTTGTAAATTTATCACTGTATTTTTTAGCTCTTTACTAATGTTAGCTGTTGCTTGCACAATAGTTAATTCACTTAAAGTGTTGAACAGCTCTGCTTTAGTCTCAGATAATTGCTAAACAGAAAATAATGAAATCAATTTCCTATAGAAAAGCACATTTTAAGTGTACACACTTACTTTTGTAACCTCGGCAGTCTTTACTCTCTCCCCATTATAAAGCTGTTCTAATGCTAGGCATTTATTTTTAGCTTCTTTAGTTTCCTCTTGATATTTTGAACACTAAAATATAATAATTGATTAATTACATATTTAAGTGTTATAACATATAATATAATAAAAATGTTCTAACTTCAGTTTGCCAATGTGATACTCTCTCATTAAGGTCTTTAATTTGTTTTAATGAGTTTTGCCTCAATTTTTCTAACGCAGAAGTTCCATCTTCAATTTCAACCTGTAATTTCAAAACTTGATCTTTCTGTAATAAAAATAATTTTACATTTTAATTCTGATATTTTTATTAAAACATTATTATTTACTCACCAGAGCAGAATTATGTTCATCAACAGCTCGACTACTTCTTGATTTACCTAAAAGTCTACGATTTCGTTCAGCATGAACTTCTCTACGATTACGCTCAAATTGTAATTGTAATGTCAACAAAGCGATTTGGTCTTGCAATAATTTAACATCATCAGTAGATTTTGCTGTATGGCGATGATTAAGAACTATTGCCGATGTGCGCACATATTTTTCAATTAAACATAAAGATTCATCTTCTTGGTTATTAAAACTATTTTGCTGATTTTTAGTAGCTAAAATAAATTAATATGATAKTCAACAATACATTATAACCAATCTTATTAAAACTATTTTAAAACTTACTATTATGTTGATCATTATTATAAGCAGGAAATATGCTATAAAACAAATGTTCATAAGGTAAAATATGTTCTGTTTGAGTAGATACAGTCTGTACTTTAGCTATATCAATATCATTTTTTGATTTTTTTTTCTGTAAAATAAGTTGTTGATTGTAAGCAATAATTTAGATGAATGATATCAGTTTTAATAATAAGCTTACTGGTAGTGAAGTAACATGGCCATTGCTAATATTTGTACTATCCCCATGATGATCCTCTTCGGTTTCTTCTTGTAATGGTGAAGTGCCAGAAGAGATACTGCTCCCATTAGTTTTTTTAATTTCAGGACATGAATTCGCTCTTCGAACACTAAGTAATGAAAATTCCGGTCCCTTTTTAGGGCTGCTATCAGTACTTTGTCCTAAAATGAAAATTCCATTTTATATTATACATGAAAAAAAAATGTATTAAACCTATTAAAAATTTAAGGAAAATATATATTATTATACCAGTAACATTTATAGTTTTCTCTGGAGTACATTGACTATGATAACGTCTTCGTGTTCGAACACTCATTACAAATTCTTTTAATGAAGTAGAATCAGGCATATGTAATCCTCCCTCATAAGTTTGACATGGTGACCCATTACTCTGTTGATCGCATTCAATAATATCTTCATCTCCAGTCTTTTAAATATTAATCATTTGTTAATACATACAAATATTTAAAATATTAATATAGTATTTAGTAGTGCAGTACTTGTAATATTTCAGGATTATTTGAAAGTTGAATTTGAGCTGCAATAGGTTTTGATTCAGAACGTACATTATTTTCATCTTTGATTGAATCTGTTATCTGAAAAATTTTTCAAAAATATCCTAAATTTAAAAATTAATTTAAAAAAAAATTTTTAATATATTAAATAAAAAAATTGTTATCACATTTTTCTGATAATATATCCTAATTCTACCTGATTACGCTCCATTATCATTTTGTCCACTCTACGAACAAGTGACTGTGATTGGAAATCTTCGGTAGGAAAAATAAACCCTTCTTTTTTCAATGGTGAACTAGGCTGAGAATTTGGTGTTGATGAATTACGTCTAGGTAAATTGTCTATGCCAAATGAATTCAATGCTCTGACTACAGTCGAGTTTATAGATGGCAACCTCGATTGTTGATATAAAACATCCTTTCAACATTTTTTGGAATAAGTCACAATACATATATTTTTCAATATAAATGAAGCGATAGTAAAAGAAAAAATGTTGAAAGATATTCAACTACCATATAGAATATAAGATGTATTATTTTTTTTAAAGATACTTAATTTATAAAATTGATAAAAATAATAATAATACTAAAAATAATGAAAATCAAACAACATACAGAGTTTATATATGGACCAGTAATAATTGTACTCTATCATTTTTCTACATGAGAAACATTTTATAACTAACATTTTTAGTGTCTAAGATTCTGGTAATGTATTAATTTTGTAAATCTAGTAAATATCTTGGGAGAGGGAAGGAAGTTCAAAAGTAAAAACCCCAGTACTATTCTTTTTTAACTTTTAATGTTTTTAGAAAAAAAAATAGTAAGAAATGGAAATTGTTGCAAATTATAAAGTAAATATGCAAAGAGATAATAAATTAATTCAAATTTAACACATAAATTATGAATACAGTGACTTACTCAATGACGAGATACACATAATACATATAGTACAATAGATGTAGGTTACCAATTTACCCGTTTTTTTTTTTTACAAAAGAATAAAATAAAATATTATTTATTTTGTCTCTCTGTATTTCTATTTATACTATTAATTATGCTTTTCTCCATACAATTTTTTGAGTTAAAATAATATAGAAGACGAATAATAAGATCATATCAAAGAATTATTTAAATAATAAAAAACAAATTTGTTCAATGTTAAATATAATTTTAAGAAAATTTTCTAGTTTTTTAGAGCACTTTAGTCTTTTTCCTGTACATGAATTTTTTATTTTTATGATTTTATATATATAATAAAGTAATACAACACTTAATTCAATTTAAGCATTCAAGTATAGCTTATTGTTCAATATTAGATCAAATAATTACATCTAAATAAATACATTTATTCTTTATGAAAAATAAATAAAATAAACCAAGAAATTAAAAATTTAAATTTAATAGTTATTTAGTATTTTAAGCAGTGGAAGTTAAAAAGGTCACAAATTGTACAAAAACAAGTATTAAAAAAAAAAAAAAGTAATAGTAAGTATTTTAATTTCCAACAGTTTATTATGTTTAAAAAGTAGAAAACTAACCAAATTTTAAATATATTTTTATGATTATATCAAAAACAAGTTTTAAAAACTAAAAATCAATCTGAAAAGAAATTTATAGTTTTATGCGCAATATATAACTCACAAWAAAATTAATCCTATGGCAAAGCCAATATTCAAATTATAAGTATATATAAATATTAATAATGTTAATTTGCAAAAAATAATAATAAAAAATTCATTTCACAATGACAGTGTAATTTATGCCATAAACTATTATTTTGATTAATGTAATAATTATGAGAATACTATTGGTATATAAATATATTAATTTCAGCTTAAAACACTCAATATGCATAACAATAATTTTAAAAATATTTACCCTGATAGGAGTTGTTTCTGGTGTAGCTTCTACAGCTGCTTCTGGAGGTGAATGTTCATTATGGTTGAATATTAATGGTTTATAGTAATTCTGAAATATAATTACTACAGTTATAAGTTTGTTTTTTTTTTAAATATTAATTAACATTTATTAGTAATTAATTATTATACACCAAAATGTTACCTGTAAATTTGGAGTAGTGGGAACAGATTTAACAGTATCTTTATCAAATTCACCACAATATAACATTGGACTCCATAATTCATTATCCCTGATACTATTAACACCAACAATATCTCCAGTTGCACCAATACTTGATTTTAAAATTTCTAAACATATTTCAGACAAGTTGAAAAATGTGTCTCAAAAATTAAATGATTGATTTACATGTTCATTATATACAAGAATTATTATAATATACACTAGGGGACGCCAACGTGGATATGTCCACAGCCACATGGATAAATACAATGATATCAAGGGCCAAAATGTTTATAAATACATTTTATAGTTTTTATAATACCATCATATTTTATCATTAACAAGTAAAAATTGTTTTTTTTTTWAAATTATACGCGAGCGACAAATTGGCTACCCCTGATATTATACACACTATAATTTGACGAACATCCTAAAATTGCCAGATTTTTCACTTATTGAATAATTGAATTATTATTACTAATGATCCCCATGAACCATGAACCATAATTAAAGTAATTAAATTAATTCATACTCATATTAAAATGAGCTAATATATTTTAGTTTATAAGTAGTAAATTATTTTTTGATTATAATTTGATAATTTCAGTTAGTAATTCCATATTATGTAAATCCCAAATTCTATCTATATCCTTATTTACCAATGATTACAATACTGTACTTCACTATAGTCTAAAATAGTCATAAATAATAACAGCAATTAAAAAATATAATGAATTGTTAAATATCATGTTTGGTAACATAAATTATAGATTACCGAGAGCTGATGAAAAATTTGACCCTGCATTTGTCCAAGTTGAAGTATTTTGATAATTTCTATCCCCATTTTCCAATAAAGTATATCTTGTACATTCCATAACAACATCATGTTGCTCCATTTTTTTCCACCTAGTAAAAAATAAAAATAGGCAATATTTAACAAGTTAATAATTTTTTTAAAATTAATTATGATACTATCTTATAATTATTTAAAGTAATTAAGATACTAGGGTTCTTGAACCTTAATATGCAGCAGACCATATATTATTTTCTACAAACGTGCAGGCTGCATTTGTAGTAAAAACATGTATTTTTCCAAAAATTCAGTTGTATTATCCACAACAGAAGTTTATTTCCAAAATATCTAATATGATTGAAAATTAAATACAACAGCCAACATTTATAATATGTAGGTAGATAATTTAATTTATATTTCACTCAATAGTGATGTCTTAAATGTTAAATTATGACTTATAAATGTTCTAATTTTTTCAAAATAAAAAAGATACATGCTACATTTCTGATGTGATTGCAAGCCGCAAATAATGACAAGCCTAGCTGTAGGTTGAAGAAGACGCTTAACTTATATTATAAATCATAATGTAATGTAAAATATATACTTTACCTATGAGCTGATGTTTCCACATCTTTGCTGCTCACAATTAAACTTGGATGCATACGCATTGTTTCTATCATGGGCTAAATAAAAAATGAATCATAGTTCTATACACAAATACACAATTAACATAATTCATAATATATTTCTTACTTTAATTGTATGAGTGAAAACTAAATCAGGTGTGCTATATTGTTGCTTTAAATATAACACAAATGAACAAGGGTACATACTATATAGTTGAACAAATAATACATATAATGATATCTGAAGATGGAATAAATGAATTTCTGGAACTTTGTTTTTTTGAGAAGTATTCCAGGCTGCCAAACGACTAGTTTAAAATTTTTTTTTATTATTTACAAAAGTAAGTAAATAAAATAATGATACATACCTAAATCCTTCAAAAATATCTGGTAGAAACGAAGAAATAAGTGCAGGAATAACAGTCAAAAGTACATTAAGAGCAAGTAAAGCGCTAGTAATAGTAATTATTTMATTTTCAGACTGAAAAAAAAAAATTATTAACAAATAAAATATATATCTAACGTGTAATTTAAAATGTGTTGCATCTGAGTTTTATTTTAAAACATCTCTGAAAGCTAATTATTGCCCTTTGGTGCGTTCAATTGTTGAATATTCTTCAGTGTTAAGGGTCTCGCCCAMAACAAACAGTGATTCCTAGTTAGAACAGTTCCATGCCGTTTCCTTTCTTTTGCAGGTTATGTACTAGATATTGAACATCTTGAACATGATTATTCAAATTTTCTACACTACCTTTGATTAAATATTTCATCACTCCTGATGTAATATTACATTCCTGTACTTTATAATATTATCATTTGCTAGTAACCATTCAATTTTAGGAAACCTTGGCTTATATTATTTTAAATTTAAATAATTAGATCATAATAAGGATTTCAACATTTAGATTTAAAAAAAAATTTATTTTGCGTATATAGATTTCAGAGCATAAATAGTTTAACAGCAAAAATGTTAAGCACTAGCTGACAGAAGAGTGAATGCAAACTTATCATTTAAGACCTACTTCTTACAAAACTTAATTCTCTTTGCAATCCTATTACATGCCACTAACTAAACTTGTAACCACCCAATTTTCCACATGACGTGTCTAGCAAATAACCACCCCTTCTAAGCTCGTATTTTAACCTTGTTATGTAATCCTTGGTTGCCACAATATTTCATTTGTCATTTTCCCTGACTTTTCCATAACTTTCCCATGTTTTTCCATATATATTTTAAGAGTAAATTTTGATTTTTTTTTTTTAAGTTTAATATACCTAACACCGTTTATTTTTTTTTTTTTTTAAATAATAATTTAAATTGACAATGGATATGCTTTAAAMATTTTAGGGAATACCTAATTTATTGTTTACAAGTTCCATATTTTCCATATTGTTTTTATCAATAAAKTAAAGTATTTTTTTTCGAAATGAATGATTTACATTGAAATATTAGGGAAAATATAAATTACGATTTGAAATATAAATTCCAGAGTTTCATACGAATTCCCTGACTATTCCATGTTTTCCCTGACTTTTCCAGGTTTTCCAGGTTTCCAGAAACCGTGGCAACCATGTAATCATGAACTTTTTAATTTTTTCAAAGTAGAATGTATTCTACACCCAAATTAAAATTGTACATGATATTATTATTATTTTTATCTTTACTATATTATAAAGCTGAAGAGTTAAAAATTTTAACACGCTAATCTCAGGAATTACTAGTACAAGTTTAAAAATTATATTTTTATTGGATTGTCCTTTTATAAAGAAAGGTTTGGTCGTGTCTATGGGAAGGTTTTAATGTATAATATGTTATACTAGTTCATAGGGTCAACTTTAAATAATATTCAATCAGTTAATAATCTATATAAAAATGGATTTCTGTCTATTTGTATGTCCTTAACACATTTCTAAACGGCTGAACCGATTGTGAAAAAATTGGTACAGAGATATATTAGACTTATGGACAGTATATAGGCTAAGTTAAAAAGTGATAAGCCCAACCCTGGAGGTCCTCAGATATTTTGAGATTTATGATGGAAATTGTTGTTTATAGATGGTTGCTATTAGTTTCAATAATAATAATAATAATAATAACAGTTCTAATAATAATTAGTGCCGAAGAAATTATTATCCCTGAATTTATTATTATTTGTTTTCATGGTAAGTACTTCTACAGCATTAAAAGTTGATATTGATATTTTGTGTTTTTTGTTATAATAACGCTATTTCTATGCAGTATAATTCTTATACTGTCTATTATATTTCATATTACACAGTAATCAGAAAGTCATAAAAAAAACCACAACAAAAGATCTTAGGAAAAAAAATTCCATAATTCATATTTAATATAATAAGTCAGTTAATTAAATAAAATAAATAATTTATACCTTTAAAAGTTTTATTAATTCCTTGAGTAAATGATGGTTAGTAATTTTAATCAACCATGTTGGTTGTCTTTTTACTACATGACCCAGTAATGTAAGTGCTTGAAGACGATTTGTACTACGTAAGCCATCAACAAGCCTAAATACATAACACGTCAAAATTATATTTTTTAATTTATAAATAACTGATTAATGAAAATATTTACCTATCAAACAGATACTTGTCATGTGGTTCTCTGACAGCTACTAATACTTCTACAGCTCTTTGTGATCCAGTTGACATAAAATAATCATACATTCCATTTAACAGCCATGGTTCTTTTACTATTTATTAAAATTAATTCTAATCAATAATTTGTACTTAAATTGTTTTAGGCATATTTAAATTGTTTACCAATATTGAATTGTTCATGAAATTTGTGTTTTACAACTTCTACTTCTTTAGGAATGTTGGATTCTAATGATGTGAATAGCTCCATTACCTCCATAGCAATCATTTTTCCAACTAAACATTCTTTGTTACTAATACTTTATCTGAAATACAATAAAAACCTAAAATTACAACTTTGACCAATAATTTATAAAATAATATATAAAAACATACATTATAGTTGGCAACCAACATCAAATACAAAATGTTCAGTTTAAAGTTCCGTTTAAACTTTGATACGACTTGAAATTTGTAAAGAAGAAACAATAAATATATAAATTTCAGAAAAACATATTATTGCTATTCCATTTTATTTAATGTCATCTAATGTGATTTTCCATTAACTCTTTTACCATCAATAAATTATTTGTTCTGAAAAATAATATATTTACGTGTTTATCACTTCACTATCATATTTTTATTCAGAATAATGAATAACATAACTAGTTAGTGTGGCTTATATAAAAATAATAGTAACAATGATAACATGTATAATTAATAATGCTATATCTAATATGGCACTAGTATATATACAACTAGTACCTACCATAAATCGTATTTCTTAAAAACATGTCTCATAATACTATAAAAAAATCTGTCCACTGTACCAAATAATAGTCCATACAGTTGTATGACAGTTATTAAAAAATAACAATGATACTATAATTTATTACATAGTATTTTATTAATTTTCTGATCATTTAATCAGCAGAACAAGACAAAAGAAAAATAAAGTATTTGTGGTCTATCATTACAACTCACCATGTTATTAATTCAAATTGAAAGTAGACGATATGAATATGCATACATACATCAATTCTATAAGAACTAACAGAATAATATGATCGATTCAATGGCGTTTTCCTGTGCACGGTTAGGTTTATGAAGTACAAATACGAGAATAGATAGTGGACTTAGATCGCACTTGTGAAACTAAAAATGGTAAAGATAAAAAATTTCAGGAAAACAATGAAATAAGCTTTCATGATATTCTCCGGTCGCTCGTTCATCGCTGTATACTTTATAGTTAGATGCAATTAATTGTACAGCAATACATACTTGCAAACTAAACGTTACTAAAGTCTACAAGTCTACAAATTAAATACACCTAAATATAATATATGTATATATATATATATATACATATAAGACAAAAATAATATCTATATTCTATAATATGTTAAATTGAATAATTAATAATAATATATTAAACGATGATAACGAACACAATGCATCCAACCGAAGTCGATCAGATGTTTAGTTGTTTCAAGGTCAGCTGACGCTGACTGGGGGTCTATTTCGAGTTCGCTGTAATCATTGGAGAATATATTTAAACGTTGAACAATGATTTTAGCGCACCAACTAAAATATATATTTTTGAATTTTATTTTGCTGTCTAATAATTTTAAACTAATCTCTAATAGTCCAATAATTTTTTTTTCAAACTAATATTTATTAGTTCGATATCTAAAATTATATTGGGTTCACTGTAATAAATTGTATTAGTTTTATCATTAATAAATGATAAAATGCCCTAAGGTAATAAGGTGTTGAGTACCTATGGCATACCGTATATCGGTATATCTATAATAGAATACTTGCTATACATTCAAGATGTTAATAAGATAATACATTTATTACTTATTAGTTTATTACTTCTTTTTGTTATTAGATGCCTAACCTAAACTAACCTTCTTATGGCTTAATTAACCATCTGTTTGCTACGCGGGGAAGCCAGGATTAGGATTTGGGGAGAGTAAAAGTGTATACAGTACTTGTACTAATGTACTATACATCCAATATCCCTCTGGGAAGTCTGACTACGCCACTGGATCTAATAAGTATGAACCTGAATGATCGTACAAAAATAAATATTATTTGGGTAACGCGTGACAAACGGATGGTTGTTATAACTATAGGACACTTTGAATAAAAAGATTCTTAGTTGGTTTCCAATACCTATAAGTGTTTGCTTATCAAGTTGCTTTATTGATTGTTAACCTTAACCCCTTAGAACATCTTTTACGAGAAAAAAACTAAGACTGAATCGGAACTCTTTAGCACAATAGTGCCACCTAATCTTTTAGAACTTAGATCACACATTGTGGATAGAATTACACCAATCTCAAACAATTTTAAACATGTAAGCGACGAATCCCTGACAGAGATGGGTACGCGAAATGAGCCGTCGGAATACGGTGACGGTGACATATTCTGTTCATATATCATATGTAGTATATTAGTTTATAATTTAAGGTTGACACATTAACTGTGATCAAATCTTGGAAGTATGATTGGACGAAAATTTTACTAATTGTAGAAGTAATAATTTTTTTTAAATAAAAAGTAAAAACTGATAACCTAATCTTGTCATAGGAGTGCACAACAAGGGTGCAGCACGTACACGCATCCAAGGCTGCATCTGCTCTTTCTGTGGCACCAATTTTTTTCCCCAAGTGCATAGAATACAGATACGTGTTTGTAATATGATTGTGGATTATACCAGTGGCGCCGAACCTATAACCCAAGAGGGGCGACCGCCTCCCCTTTTTTACGGTGAGTGAGGTCGTAGGGGTCCGTGGGTTGTGGGTACCCCAACAAACTATTTATGAATTATGTTCCTAACTCCTAAACTATTAAAACATATAGTTTTTATTTTGTACACAGGGGTGGTGGTCCGTATAACTTTTTAATTCCCCCCCCCTTTTAAAATATAGTAGTTCGGCGCCACTGATGGATTATACACACAATAGTCCCTAAAATTATGTGTAGTATGAAAAGTGCAGAGTGTAGTACGAAATTCATATTATATCAATATTATATATACAATTTTAATCTAACAATAATGTTACTACAGGATATCAGAAAGTTTTGTCGAAGAACTTTCTGATATCCATGAAATTTCGGAACAAGTACCCCATCTCTTCTTAAACCACAAAAAATAAAAGGCGGGTAAGTCGTG